TTAGTCTCTTGCAATTCTCTTTAGGAATCTTGAAGCACGACAATTCGTGCACTGGTAAATTGGTGGCCGCCGTTCTAATTAAAATGTCTTTTCCACCTTTAGAGAGAGTTCGTTGTTTCCATCCTTGAAGTTTTTTAATGAGCTTCTCTTCTATGAATTGGAAGGCCTCTCTCTTTGATCTAGAGATATTTGATGGGAGTCCCAAGTAATAATCTTGTTCTCCAATGCTACCCAGGCCTAATTGTTCTCCCAGTACCCCAGCTAGGTCTGGGTTCATATTGCGACTAAACAATACTGCTGACTTTTGAAGGTTGACTCGCTGGCCGCTCAGTCCTTCATAAGCTTGAAATAGGGAAAGAACTGTTGAGCAAGACTGTGGGGAGGCCTCTAAAAAGAGATATGAATCATCCGCAAAGAAGATGTGGGAAACCATCGGACAAGATGCTCGAATTCTCACTCCCTCCAGATACCCCACTGCTATTGTGTGTCTTATCATGGCTGAGAAGCCTTCTGTGCAGATGGCAAATAGCAGTGAAGACAGAGGGTCTCCTTGCCTAAGTCCTCTTGACGGGCGAAAATAGCTAGAGGGGTTCCCGTTCACCATAACTGAGTAGGAAACTGTTGTGACACATTCTTTTATCCATGATATAAACTTTTGATCGAATCCAAGTTCTTTCATTACTCCGAAGAGGAATGGCCATTCTACACGATCATAGGCTTTTTCCATGTCAGTATTATAGGTTATCGTTTTATTGATTCTCCTTCCCACATGGGAGTATTTGTTACAGGTAGTTCATCTTCTAAAGCAGAAGTCTGTTTCTTTTTGTCATGTTGTTATGAGAATTTTTTGCTCTGTGTTTCAGGAGTTTGGTCCAAGATTTTATCTCTGCAAAGGATAGAGGTTTAGCCACACAGTGGTGGCTGTGTGTGTTTTGGATTTGTAGGTGAACCTCTTACTGCTTTTCGGCTAAAGCTGCAATTAGTACAATAATGTGTCGTCGAGAAATGAGATTTATTCTATAGTGGAGGATACAGATAAGGGAAGAAGGGGGCAGGAGAAGGAGAGGGATCTCACTCATTTGCTTTGTTTATAGCTACTTGGTGGAAAATTGTTCAAAGGCACTAGCCCATCGTTGTTGTCGCCTCTAATGTTGTTGTCTACTTTTCTAGCTTATGTGGTTATTCATTTTGCAAGTGAACCTCCTTATACAGAGTGTGAGTCGTCCTGCCAGATCTACAATGATTTGCAGCTCTGCTTCAATTTTCAGCATGGTTAGTTCATGATTTTGATCCTTTTAAGGGGAATAAATCATGAAATTATCCATGTCGTTCAGGTACCATAGGACTGACCATATCATGGCAGTAAATAGGGTTGTTAGTGGTGCTGTTTCGATTTTAACTGAACCGCAAATGCGGTTAACCGCGACCGAGAAGCATCGGAAAACCTCAACCGCCACCGACACCGATTGCCTTATCGGTTAGCCAAAAACCGCCATCGACGGTTTCGGGTCGATGTCGCAGTTAGTTGGAACCGACGGGATCGCGGGGTGAGGGAGGACGAAGGCAGGCGGTGCGACGATGGCGACGGCTGACGAATGCGCGACGGTCGATGATTACTGGGACTGGAGTAGGAGGACGAAGGCGGCGGTGGGGACGCCAGACAGGGTGATGTTGACGGCTGACGGCGGGGACGCCGAGGAAGGTAAGGGTTCGGAACTCGGAAGGGAAGCGGCGGGTGGGTCGTTTTGGGGAAAACCTGGCATGTTCGGGGGAAGAGACGAAGGTGGTAGCGACTAGCAGTTAATTTTAACAAAAAGCAAGGGGAAATTTAGTCATTTTTCGGGCTAGGGGTAATGGGGTATATAGTCTCTCTTAATAATACCCACATCAAACTCTAAGCGCCGCAGCCGATCGCTCACCCTTCTTCCTCGTCTCTCTTCAGTTCTTCCTCCCAAGAAAATAATATGAACAAACCCTCTTACCCTATCTCGTCGATCTCATCTTCTCTAAAACTGCGCGATCTGCCTCTCCGTTTGTCCTTCTCTTCCATCTCGATTCAACTTCATTCTCCCTAGTGCCTATCCGTTCCGCCAACTCCCTCTCTCGCTCTCTTTTCTTTCTTCCAGATTGCGGGGCGACGACAGTTTTGCGGTTAACCGCCACGGTTGCGGTTATTCACAGGTAACCGCCGGTTATGCATAAACATCAACCGACGCCGACACCGCATGCATATAATCGATTGTCGGTTATCCGATTAACCGACTTTTCGATGCAATTTTTCTGTTAAACCGCATAACCGACCACCGATTTACACCCCTAACAGTAAAGGCTTATTTTGTCATACTTGCAAAGATCTTTTCATTTTTCATTCGTGATTTGACCTGCAAAGGTCATGTATATTGTTATATATTTTGTATCTCTTGTTCCCTTAGCGGATATCCATGGCAAAAAAAAAAACTATGATGGGAATAAAAGCAAAACAAACTAGTGTTCTTGAGACGTTTCCATCTTATAGAGCGACGAGGCCCACTTAGGCCCAGGATATCATTCAGAAAAGGCCCAATTTATGGGCCTCACTCGCTTGAAAGCCCAGCCGTTTTCTCGTCACCCGCTCCAGGTGGTTACTGTTAAGTAACTGCTAGTAGAACTGCCGCCATCCACTGGAAGAATCCCGTGGCGACTGGAAAAATTCAGCCATGGTTGGAAAGCTCGACAGAAATGGATAAACTTCGCCTGAAATCCTAGCTGTCCCGCCGGAAAACAAACAACAACAAAAGTATTCATGCCGATCGCTTCTTCTTTCTCTATCCTCCGCCACTGCGCCCCGTCCCTCCACCACCAACATTTCCTCCTCCGTAGCTTCCGCCGGGGCAACAACCTCTCAATTGCGGCGGCCAAACCGCAGCAGCAGAAGCCGCACAACGCCTCGAGGAGGCCTCCGCCGAGCAAGAATTTACTCAGAGCCAGGGAAAAGTTGAAGGAGTATTCCTCCCTAGCTCCGGTTCTCTCCCTCGATGAAAAACCTAATCTTGCCGATTCTCAGGCGATCGGCACCGTCGCCGCGGCTCAGGCCAACTTCATGCGTGTCGTCGTCCAGTCCGAATCCCCGCCGAGCTCCGATGGGGGCGGAGGAACCGGGGTGGAGCTTCTGTGCGTGGTGAGGGCGGTGCTGAAGAAGATAAAGAGAAGGGTCATGGTTGGGGATAGGGTTTTGATTGGGTCGATTGATTGGGTGGATCGCAGGGGAATGATTGAGAACGTGTTTCGTCGGAGCAGCGAGGTTCTGGATCCTCCGGTGGCGAATGTCGATCATTTGCTGGTGCTTTTCTCCATGGAGCAGCCCAAGCCTGAGCCATTCTCGTTGACTAGGTTTCTCGTCGAAGCTGAGTCCACGGGAATTCCATTGACCCTGGCTTTGAACAAGACGGAGCTCGTTGATTCTCAGGTTAGCTAACTGAAACATTATTCTTCAGCCCTGAATTGAGTGAATTGACATTGGAACGAGCAGAAGCTGGAATGTGGATTGTTCACTTGCCCTTCCAGTTTCTTTGGCTTTCCTTAAACTTAATGTTGGGTTTTCTTTCTCAGGCAGTTGATGCTTGGAATTCCAGGCTTCGTGAGTGGGGTTATGAGCCTGTGTTTTGTAGCGTTGGAGCCAAACATGGACTCGATACTCTCGCATCGATTCTGAAGGACCAAACGACGGTGGTTGTAGGTCCAAGTGGGGTTGGGAAATCGAGCTTGATCAATGTTTTGAGAAGCAATACTCATGGTGGTGACAATTCCGCAGAGGGGGAGAATTGGTTTGAACCAGTGAGTTATCATCTTCAATCTTCTGTGATGTCAAGTCATTTTAGCAGTTCATCGAGCATTTTGGTTACATTTCGGGTTTGATCTTTGATATCAGCTATTAGGTAGCAAGTGGTCCGATGAACAACGAGTTGGGGAAGTTTCGATGAGAAGTGGCAGAGGGAAGCACACGACTCGTCATGTTTCGTTACTCCCGCTATCTGGTGGAGGTTATTTGGCTGATACTCCTGGGTTTAACCAGCCGAGTTTGATGAAAGTAACTAAGCAGTCTCTGCAGCAAACTTTCCCTGAGGTAGGATCCAAAGTTAAGTGATGCAAGTCTTTAGGTAGGAAATTTGTTTAACAGAATGTATGGTCCTTTTGACTCATTCTGTTGCAGATAAGGGAAATGCTGAGAAGCAATGAGCTCGAGAAATGCTCTTTCAACGATTGCTTGCATCTCGGTGAGCAAGGATGCATTGTTACTGCAGACTGGGAGCGGTATCCTTTTTACCTTCAGCTTCTGGACGAGGTCAGAATCAGGGAAGAGTTTCAGCTGAGGACTTTTGGTACCAAGAAAGAAGGTGATGTAAGGTAATGTGGTCACTAAGACAAGCTGATCGATGTCTGCTGCACATTCTCCACTGCCTTTGAAGATTTTACATTGGCATAGAATGAAATCTCAAAATATCGATCCTATGTTTTCCTTTTTTCAGATACAAAATGGGGGGTATGGGTAAGCAACAAGCAGAGCCCCGACTGGAGCCTAAGAAGCATAGAAGGCAATCTCGTAAGAAGATCAACCAGTCGTTATTAGACGAAGTGGACGAGGCCGCTGAAGATGACGAAGACAGCTTGTTGGATGAGAATGATCCGTTCTTGAAGGCACTAAGGGAAGAGTATGAACAATAGCAGTAGAGAACACCCAACTTAATACCATTGAAGATTACTATCTCGTCGCTCGTTAACACATGGTTTTGGGATGCAAATGCCGTGGAACAGAACAAATTCTTACTACTGTATCAGCTGTTGTGTAAAAGGATACTGCTGCAACCCGTGCATCCTTGATGGAAAAGAGTGGCTTTAGCTGTGGAGTCGGATCAAATGTAATCAATCTGTTGGGAATTTGTACTCATAAACTCGATCCCGACCTAACTATGGAGTTTCGATGTATACTACTACCTAGCAATTTCAGCTCCAAATTAACTTAAAACCCCAATTCCTTATATGGAATTCAACCTCGTAGTAATAGATATTGAGAGAACTAACCTCCTAGAGGATTAATCCATCCTAAGGGAAACAACCCAGAACCAGAAATCAGAAAGTGAGAAGCATAGCTATCGAAAAGATGATTCTTGTGATTCTGTGTGTTCAAAGGCTGAAACTTCGGAAAAGTTCATGACGAATTCCCCCAAACAAAATGTCGCCACACAAATACTTAGTTATAGTTTCTATCGAACTCATCGATTCATTATCCCCCTAGCAGAGAATTCTAGTACAAAGCAGAAAATTGAGAAACCCTACTTCTTAGACTTGTTCTTCTTGGAAGCGACGGGCTGGGGCGGCGGCTTGGGGTGCTTGTCGGCCTCGAGGGGATCCAGCCAGCGGAGAGGGTGGCGATTGAAGCCAGGCCAGTTGGGGACTACGATCAAGGCGGTGAGAACGATTCCGCCGGCGTAGATCAACATCATAGTTTGAAACGATCCCATGATGTAACCGGTGAGGAAGGCCATCACGGCGGAAGCCAGTAGCATCAGCTGCATCAGCTGCTCCGCCACCTTCTGCCCCTGCCAATCCATCTGCAAGATCGAAATCCCAGCCAGAAACAAATGCTCAAAATCCAGAGATAGGATAAGAGGATCGTCTTCGATTTCTAGGGATAGCGAAAGCGCGAAATCGAGTCCAAAGGAATTGGGAAGAGAAATTCATTGACTGGAGTGATGAAGCGCAGATAGGGTAGATGAGTGAAATTCCAGTAGAGGAAGGCGGGAGACTTACCGTCGTGAAAGAAGAGAAGAGATCGGCGGCGGCGGTAGAGGAGATGTGAGCAACAGCGGCGGCTATGAGAGAGAGCGATGAGATGGGGAAAACGAGAAGGGGACCAAGTCCGGGGATAGTCTTCGACTCTTCTAATCTTCTTCCCTTTGCCCAGGGAAAATAAAAACAAATGAATAAATAATTGGGAAATATTCGTGAAATCTGAACAGAGAAAATTGGATCATGGCCCGTGAGATTAGAGTTCTTAGTGGGTCGAAGGCCCATTAGAGGATGCAATGTCGAAAGCCGTAAGGGGCATTGATGATAGTTGAGATTTTTTTTTTTTGATGGAGATGATAGTTGAGATTTATGTAACCTAGTTCGCCAGTTTTGGGTCATCGCTCCCGCTCTAGAGCGTGGAAACGCGAATTCTGATGGGATCGTTATAAATTCGCGAACTCGTTTGTAATAGAGCGCGTATTCACTTTCACTGGAGCGCGATTTTCTTCAGCTCAATGTTTTTTCGTTCAATCGCCTTTCTCTCAGCTCAATTTGGAATTCCCAAATAGCTTTTTTGCTCCGGCAACTTTCTCTCGTCCATCGGCCGCACCTCCCGCTGTCCTTGTTTCCATGCCTACCAACAAATGTGCACTGCTCTCTCCACCGCTTACAACCAAATACACCAGCTGGGCTTCGATTGTTCGACTCTGTCCAAGGGCAACCTGCGGTAGCTCCGTGCACTCCAAAATTCGACGGGATTTAAAACAATAATCAACGGGATGATCGCCGATGACGGTGGTTCAGTTTTTTATATGTATTTATGGATCAAAGATATGTAGAAGGAGTGCATGGTATATTGTTGGTTTTGGATAGTCTTTTTATCCAACGAGAATACAGCTCCGGCGAGGCATAACAATGAAGAAAGAAGGTTAGGTGGAAAGTAGAGATAAACGAGAGAGAAGCCCCAAGGGGAAAATCAATAAAATATCTCTTTATTTACCAAAAAGAATCCCTTTATGGCTTTATCCCTTTAGCTCAAGGTGTCTATTATTACAACTTACGGTTGTAGTCAATAATATTATCATCCTCTGTATCCAAGAAACTCAACAACAACAACAAAATTTGTGTTGTTAAAAGAAAAAAAACTAATAATAAATTTTAGCATGTTTCTACTAGTGACTTACTATGATAAGTTTTTACATCTAATCTAATATTTAATTAAAAATATTATTATTATTGACGCTCTCATCACGCTCTGAAAATTCAATTCTCAAAGAATCAACGCTCTCACGCTCTCGCTCCCGCTCTCGCTCCCGCTCCCGCTCTGCGAACTGGTTACCTAAGTTGAGATACAAATCACTTGTGGGCTGTGGCTGGCTAATGGTTAATAGCTACTGTTAATATCTACTGTTGCTGACTGCGGATAATCATAATACACAATAAAACCACGATAGAAAAACTCTACCATTAGGGATGGCAGGTCGGGGGCCGTTAGTGGTTACCCGTCTGAAGATCGCCTGATTAAGGTCCAAGCAGTGTGGTCTTAAGGCCCGTCAACGAGTGGCGGGGAACCCGAGACCCGTCAACACTGGATTTCAGATGGTGCTGGGTTGTAAACTATCCGCCCCACGATCCGCCCGACGAATTACCCGTCTATCAAAACGACGCCGTATTGAATAACCATTTATATATTCCATTTACCCTTCAGAAGAAACCCTAGTAGCCGCCTCCATCCTCATTCTTCACTTCCCGAATCGAAAATCCAAAACCTTAGTTTCCTTCTTTCTCTCTGCCTCCTCTCTGGCGATTAGCGATCAGATCGCTAGGATATCGCGATCTGGCCGATTTTTTGCCTTTCCCCTCATCAAAATCGCCAAATGTCGTCTAGTTTTCTTAGGATCAGTCTCCAATTTGTCCATTCGACCAATTGCATGGCTGGAAGAGCAACCACCCGACGACGATTTCGTCGAGCACAGTCCAGAAACGACTCATTTGGAGTTCAAATTGCCAAATCTTTGATAACAGATAAGTTAATTAAGATTTCTTTTCTTTTCTGACGATTATCTTCCTTGTATCCTCAAAATCTGTACTAAATCTTGACTCTTGCACAACTATATATAGGGGGAATTTCAGAGCTCGTTTCTCACCATCTCCCCATCTTCTGAAATCCAGAACAGAACACCCCAAACCATAGAGAGTAGAGACAGAGGGATTGCGCCGAGCCTACAGACAGAGTCCAGTCCATCGAGGGTAAGGAGCTTGAAATCGTGTCGACTTTTCTGGGTTATTGATGTCTATACAGACATGCATGCATGAAATCGAACTCTAATTGGGGTTTTTTCCCGTTGTTCACTCTTTTTTTTGGCCAGGTTGGACTCGTTTGAATCGCTATTCGAGGGCTGGATCGCAACAGACAGAGTGAGTGATCAGTGAGCACTGAGTAGTGAGTTGTGAGCATCAGTCCACTGTCATTGGGTACTCGATAGTCCACGGAAAACTCAAAGCTGAGAAGAATGTAATCACGTTCTTGAGCTTCAGTCTATTGTCATTTGTCAGTGAGCTGTTTGTTCATTGTTGTGCAACTTGTTGTGAAAATCTATGACTTCATAATGCTAAGAAGTAATAAGAATTAAACTGTAAATCTGTAATCTTGTTTTTGCTGCAAGCCTGCAAATGGTGTCTTGTTTGCTAGTTTAGTCTTGTTTTTTTTGTGAATGTAACTAAATTAAATTAAGGCCTAATCTAATTAGCAACACATAAATCGATTATTGTCAGATGGAAGGTGCTATGAATGTTGAACCTACTCCTACTGCCAATGTTCCTGAAAATGTTGTCCAACCTCAACCTAAACAACCTGCTGCTGATGCAATTAATCCGGTTAATGGTAATGATGAGGAGCTGGAATCTCAACGTAAGTTAACCTCTAATGTGTGGCCTCACTTCAACCGTGTTAGGATTAATGGGGTTATGAAGGCTAGGTGTAAGTAATGTCGTAAACCCCTTGGTGGGGAAACCAGTAATGGAATTTCACACCTAAGAAACCATATCAAAACATGTATCCAAAAGATGATACATGATGGTTCTCAAAAAATACTTGGCCACAACTATCAACCTTCTAGAAATCCTCAACTCTCTGCTTCTCAGTACAATTATGAGGTTTCGAGAAAGGAACTTTGTTCCACGATTCTGGTCCATGAGTACCCGCTTAGTCTTGTTGATCATGTGGGTTTCAAACGACTTTGTTGTTCTCTGCAACCTCAATTCACTGTTCCTAGTAGAAACACTGTCAAAAAGGACATTTTGAGTTTGTATAGTGTTGAAAGGGGTAAATATCATACCATTATTGATGGTAACCTGGGGAGGGTTTCAGTGACAACTGATTTGTGGACTGCCAGAAATCAGAAAAGAGGTCATATGGCAGTAACTGGTCACTTTATTGATAACTCTTGGAAGCTCCGTAACATAATGATGAGATTTATGTATGTTCCAGCCCCTCACACTAGTGAAAGGCTTGCTGATAGGTTGTTTGATTGTCTTTTGGATTGGAACATTGATGGTAAGTTGTCCTCAGTCACATTGGACAACTATACCACCAATGATTCAATGATTTTCCACATGAGAAATAAGCTTCTGAGCAGTGACTTGTTGCTTGATGGTAAATTGGTTCATATGAGGTGTTCTGCTCATATTCTGAATTTGATTGTAAGGGATGGTTTGGATGCAATCAAGGATGCTATAAATTTGATTAGGGAGAGTGTAGTTTACTGGAATTCTACACCTAAAATGGTTCAAACCTTCTTCGAAGTTGCTAAGCAACTTAAGCTGTCTGTTGAGAAAAATTAGTCCTTGATTGTCCAACTAGGTGGAATTCCACCTATCATATGCTCTCTGTTGTTGTTCCATACAGGATGTTTTCTTTCGTTTGAGTTTGAGAGGCAATCATTACACATCAGTTCCTTCTAGTGAATAATGGGAATTTGCTTCTACAGTGATTGGGAAGCTGGAAATCTTTTTTGAGATTACTGAGTTGTTCTCTTGTTCCAAATATCCGACTGTCAATCTTTTCTTCCCCAAGATTTGTGATCTCATACTTAAACTGAATGAGTGGGGTCTTGATCCCAATCCTGTGATTTTTGGAATGGCTAGTCAAATGTCACTAAAGTTTGATAAGTACTCGGATGATATCCATCTTGTGCTTGTTGTAGTTGTTTTCGATCCTATATATAAACTCCATGTGATTGAATACTATGCTGGAAAGTTTGGGAATACAGAAACTGGTTTGGTTGCTGAGAATATCAAGCAAATGATATGTGGTTTGATTTGTGATTATCAAACCAAAGCTGAGAGGAAATCTGGTTTTGAAACTGGAACTTCTTCTTCTAGTTCTAGATCTGCCTCTGCCACTGAACTTGACTTTGAACTCTTTGTAAGTCAAAGGAAAAAGAGTAAGACTTCCTTGATTACAACTGAGTTGGATATGTATCTTGCTGAGGATATCATTCCTCGGACAGCAGAGTTTGATTTGCTCTTGTGGTGAAAATTGAATGGTCTGAAGTATCAGACCTTGCAATCAATTGTAAGGGACTTTCTGGCAATCCCTATTACTTCTGTGCCTTCTGAGAGTGCATTTAGTTCTGGTGGGACGTTGTTAGACCCTCACTGGAGCAGGCTGCATTATTTGACTGTGGAGGGAATGATGTGTACTAGGAATTGGATAATGGAGGATATGCAACGAGGTAACATGCAACTGAACCTCTCAAGTTCATTGCAAGTTTATTGGTTTAAGTTTTAACAATAGTATCAACTCATTCAACTGGTTTTCTGCATATTCGGAGGCTACTGTGGAGGCATTGGAGGGACTCTTCTCAGCAATGACAGTCGAAGATACAACTGTGGAAGAGGCAGAACCTGGTGGTAAGATCAATAGATCATTATTTCATAGTGTGTTCTATTAGTTCTTTGTATTACTTCATTGAGACATAGTTACATTTGCATTGTTTCTCCTTTTCAGGTCCAGAACTCACCTTAATGAGATCACCATTTGCCCATGAAGACTGATTGGTTATCTACTGTGGGACCAAGGTAAATGTCTTTTTTATTTGTTGATGCAGACGTGTTATTCATTTAGTCTTTACTAACTGAATTATTCCTCTTGTGTGTTCTTTATTCAGTTTCAATTGATGTCTGCTGGTTTACTTCGATTGGAATGAGGGTCAGGGGTGGTCGGGTGGATGATTGCTCAATGATTCGATGTTGCTGGAACCTGGATGGAATGTTGTTGCGCTGCTGTTGCTTGCAGCTATTTCAATCTACTGTTTTTGGATAAGAATTAGACATTTAGATTTTAGAATTTAGACTCGGCTGATACTTTTTGGTTGTTTGGTTCATTTGATCATTTCTATCACAATTCACAAACACGGAACAAATGTTGTTTTTGGTTGTTGCTGAGCTGCTGGTGTAGTGGCGTTAATTGCAGCTTGGCAAGCTTTCGTTTGTTTATTTCAAGTCTTTTTGACAGATCAGTCAGTATGAATAAAGTGTCCAGATTTCCAGAATTTTTTTGTCAGTTTCAATTTTTTCCCCATGTTTTCTTAGCGGGTATAACGGACCCGCGGGCACCTGATTACCCATTAGGGACGGGGGTGGTTATCCAACAAGACCCGCATGTCCGTTTGGGTCGGGGACGGGGAAACCCGAGGCCCATGGTGGGTGGGCAACGGATCCAGGGTACCCGGCCCCGATCCGCCCCGTTGCCACCCCTAACTACCATACCGTTAGAAAAGCTTTTTATCAAATTAGTAGGTAGTATTTTAGCAGTGTTGTTAAAACCGAACCGGACATCGATGAGGATTAGTAAGAGGTTCAAAGTTTATTGGATAACCGATAGTTAACCGGTATTAAAAACCAGTCATAAGCCGGTGTTGGCCTATAATATCTCCACTCTAGTCTCTACAAATAAGGAAGAATAGAGAGAATTAATAAATTCAAAACTGAAAAGTAGAAGCGGTAGGCGACTGTTAGTGCTATAATATGGCAGGGTAACGGGGATGAGAATTGAATTTTATCTCTTTTTTATTTCATTTACTATGTAAGTTACTTTTTCACGTTGTCTTGGTTGCCTTGATCATTGTTTCAAAGTAATCAGCGCTGTAACTTCCGTTTTATAACTTCCGGGACCGGGTCCAGATTTTTCCGGTCCGACCGGCCCGGGTTTAATAACAATGGTATTTAGTGTTGGGAAACCATTCAATTACGATTATACTACAGTATAAAATACTATCATACTCTATCGTTGACTTCGGGTACGGTTTTAAAAATATCATATTAACCAATACCGACCATATGATCTCACACTCCTTGAGTTATATACCAACCGGCTGAGATACTTGTTATGAGAGTTTGAGCAGAACTTGTATATCCTACAAGCTAATCAAGATCGTAACGTATACGGTATACCTGATAACCAACCAGCATTAAGTTTCCTTCCATTTAAGGAACTGAGAAGAGGGAGAAGTCTTCCACAATGGAAAAACATAAACCAACCTCATAAAGGGGAAAACAACAATATCCACCCACAAAATTCTTGATAGAACAATAAAAGGCAGATACAAAACTCCACTGAATGTATCAAGTTCGATTCACTTCTTCTAAATAGACTTCACCAACTCTAGTTTAGGAAAACAAACAAAAACTCTCTGAAACACAGGATAATACGGGCACGCTTAAGAAGATGCACCGCTTCGCAAAGCTTGAGACTTCCTTGATTTCCCAGTAGTCGCAACCTGGGTCTCGGGCTGCAAAATCCAAGGAGAAGGTATAAATAAATGAACAGGCTGAGTTCACACTGTAGAGTGACCAGTTTTGAGCCACTTCTGCATATAATAAACAACACGAAATAAATTACCTCCTTCTTGACGGGCTCTTCCTTCTCAGACAAGGTAAGCTCAATGTGGCAAGGACTGGACATGTAAGCTGTAATAGGAAAATAAAGGATTAATTAACACAGAACTAGACATCGTAGATGGTACAGACAAAGGAACGAGAGAGAAGAAGAAAACATACGGTTGATCCTTCCATGTGCACGGTAAGTACGACGTCTTTGTTTCTGAGCCTGGTTCACCTGGATATGAGAAATGTAAAGAGCATCGACATCCAACCCTTTAACCTGCAAAATAAGGAAAACATTGCATATTGAAAAATCATATTACTAAAGGGGAAGGAAAGGCAAATAGTTGAGTTCCACAGACTCCGATATGGTTGATTGAATTTTGCATATGGAAGGGGCTGAGCTTCTCAGAATTGGCTCTTCATTTGTTGGCCATAGACAAAAACCAAAAGAACCAACCAAAACCAGGATTTTTTTTCTCAAAATACCTCAGCATTGCTTTCTGCATTCTTCAACAAATCGAGAACAAACTTGGCAGACTTGGCAGGCCAACGACCCTGTCCATTGGGATGACCTCTGTTCTTAGCTTGAGCAGTTCGGCCAACACCACGGCAAAACCTCCTGAAAGGGATTGCCTGCTTGTGGGCAATGACATCTTCCAAGTAACTTTTTGCCTTAACCAATGACAACTTCCTGATGGAAAACGCTGTCTCCCTTGTGTTCTACACATTGATCAAACAAAGAAACACTGTTAAAAACATGAACATGGAGATTTTGCACCTCAACAGAAAACCCACAAAGACAAAAGCAGACTCTGGTACAATTTAATATACGAAATTCTATCTCGTATATGACCTAAACCTAGAAGAAATACAGCCCCATGAATGAAGGGGAGGTGAAACTTTGACTAGCAAATGACTGAATAGAAAAAAGAAGAACAAGCTACAGGTTTGAATGAACATCATAACCTATCTGACGCAACCTACAGAGTTAAACTGCGCCAAACAATGGAAGTCTCATAATCAAGGTGATTTAAGATTAATCTACGAGCTTCCAAATAGATAAACTTGCTCGTCATACAGATTTCTATTAGGAGAATATTTAGTGATTCAACCAAAACAAATTAGGGAAACGGAAGATCATCATTGACGATGAAACTGACATTCCACACGCATAAGAGAGACCCATTCACAACAAAACCCTAACAAAGAGCTTTATTGCACCAACTACATGGACTTAAACGCAAATAGGTTACACCAGCAAGACCATGATTTCAGTTCAACAACGAGGAAATTTCAAATAGCACACACACCTTGAAATGAACACGGAGATCAGAACCCCTAGCCTTGCAAGCTGCAAACACAAAACACCACAGAAAATCGAACCGTCATCTCTCTTACACTCAAACGGAGAACAGACAGAATCATGCTCGTAAAACCCTAAGATCGCGGCTATGAACTTACACTTAGTCGGGTTCTCGGGCTCTTTCGAGTACTTCACCTGCAAAAAACAGAAAAGAACACGGCAAGGAATTAGAGAAACATGAGACTAGGGACAGCTAAGCTCATCGATGGAGGATGAATAGTCAGACAGAAGAAGGCGAAGGAGATCTACCATGGCGGCGGCTGTGAGGAATTGATGACTTGCTGCTGTGGTTTCTGATCTCTCAGCCTCTGCGAAGAGAATAGGTAATTGACGGGGTTAGGATTATATATCGTGCGAACCCTAGGAATACTTTATGGAACTGGGTTGGGCTTCTCGCAAGCCCGATAGCTGAGCTCCTTATGGGCTTCTACGGTCCAAAAGGAACCAAGATTTTCTAAAGCGGACTGGCTATATGAGTCCAAGTCTCCAAGAGACGAGCATGGAATGAGATCAAATTGATTGCAAAGAGATATTATCCTGGACGGATCCAGAAATTTTACATAGTATAATAGTGTATTCTTCAAAAAATAAAATAAAATAATTAGTAAAAATTATAACATTTTTAAATAAAAAAATACCAGCTCGTACAAGTTAAAAAAAGTCAATAATTTATTTTCATATTCTAAAAAATTTATAAAATATACTTGGTGTCTACACTGCTCAACAAATTTATCTCAGTATATCCTACTAGACAATCATTCACGAACTTACGCATATTTGACTTATAAATTTGTTCATGATGTAACTCAAAGCTGAGAAAACACTTTCAACACTTGTCGTACAACAATAAAAATCAATACTAATTAAGAGTAGCTTGTAATTAGATTCATTGTTAGGTTTTGAAAATAATTAAAGATATGTAGCCTAATGGAAATTATATTTATTAGTAATAGTAGTGTCCCGGGTTTGAATTATCCAAACTACCACTTATATTCCCATACACAAACTACAAACGAGAGTAGTATAATCGTTCTTTCAATTTTTAGGGTGTCCTGGACTATTAGTTATAATTTTTTTGTGTATACGTAAATTACCACCGGAGGTTGGATAATCAACCTTCCAAAATTTAGGGGTGTCCCGAGACACCCCTAAATGTCCCTGAGTCCGCCCCTGATTCTTTTGGTGTCATCTTTCCCGGGTAATTAGCATAAACGGTCAAACAACTTATCACTTAGTACAAAATGGCCATTAAAATTCAATTTTGCACGTTTAAATAAAATATGTTTGGATGAATAACAAAACGGTCATTCAGTCCATTTCCATCCAAAAATCTGTTAATTCAGCCCAATCAACATGCCACATCATCCAAAAAATTAATAAAAAATCAACTAGTCAAACCAACTAACCCAACCAAATCACACCCAACCCCGGTCAAATTCTTTCCAACCTGTGGCCATTGTCAACCTTCTTGTTACTCACCTCCCACCCCGTAGCGCCGCCGCCAACGCTGCCACCATGCTCTTCAAATTCGTCTTCGCTCCCTCTATCCTTCAATCTCCGCCCTCTTTTCTTGTACAAAATTATACAGATCAAAGAGTACCTAACAGAGTGAAATCGAATTTCATCTTCAACGGTCATCTGCTTCTCCGTCGTCGTTTTGCCTTCGTCGCTGATATGATACCGCTGCGCTGCCGTTTCACCATCACTGAGAAGATCCACTTGCTCCGCTGCCGTTTCATTTATGTTCTCCGAAGAAGCTGATGATGCGCTGTCGTTTCCTTATTTCTTCTTTGAGCTGTACTTTCTTTTACACCAAGTCAGACTTGGTTTCCTTTCCAAGCTACCAAACAATGTCCATGGAAGCTTGTCTGTTTGTATGGTTTGCTGAGCCTATAAGAGGAGAATTTGATGAATAAGAAAGCAAGAACTAGGGTTTTCAGTCTCTCCTTCTTCTTCCTTTGTTATGGTATCAGAGCCTGGGATAAAACCCTAGCCGCCACCCCTCTTTTCCAATGGCCGATAACCAAGCTGAACAACAGCAACAGCCAGACCCTCAACCACAAGATCCACCAAATGTTCTTGATCCTGCATCTGACCCCTTCTTCCTCCATGGTTCTGAGCAACCTGGATCCCTTCTTGTTGCTGAAAAACTCACAGCAACCAACTACAATGATTGGAGCAGAGCTATGCTCAATGCCCTTGCAGCCAAAAACAAGCTGGGGTTCATCAATGCTTCCATCCCTGAACCACCACCCACAGATCCAATACATGGAGCTTGGACACGCAACAACGTCATGATTCTCAACTGGATCCAGCAAGCCACTTCTTCAGAGATCCGCAAGACCATTCTCTCCAGTAAAACAGCAGCAGAAGCTTGGAAAAGTCTTCAAACCAGATATGGATCTGGTGATCTTATTCGCATTGCAGAGCTTGAAGAAGCACTTTCTTCCCTGCAGCAAGGTAACCAGACTGTAACTGAGTACTATGGTAGAATGATTACTCTCAAAGATGAGTTAGAGAATTATCAACCTCTACTGCCATGCTCTTGTACTCCAACCAGTCACAATACCTGTGTTGCTATGCTAACTGTTCATAAGTACCAAGAAACAAGTTATGTTATTAAGTTCCTCAGAGGCCTCAATGAAAATTTCTATGGAGTAAGAGCTCAAGTGCTTTTTGGAGATGAACTACCAAACATCAACAGGGTCTTCCAAAGGATGCTTCAACATGAAAGACAACTCTATGGAACTCAATCTGGAAAGTTAATAGCATCTATGCAAATAGATTCTTCAGCAATGGCATTTCAAGGAGGCAACAGGAGGCCAAACCAAAGTTCAAAACCCCCTTACTGCACATTTTGCAGAAGGGAAGGTCATACTTAAGACATATGTTTCCAGAAACATGGATGGCCTCCTGGAATGACCAGACCTTCCTCCTCCACACCTGGCACAATCACCACTTGTTCCTACTGCAAAAGAAGGGGACACACTGAAGATAAGTGTTTTCAGAAAAATGGCTATCCTGCCAATCTTGTGCCAAGGAACCCAAATTCAGTTGCTGGTAGAGGAAGACCTACTGTGAATTCTGCTATCACTAATGCTCCATCAAATGAGGTCAAACTCTCAAGAGCTGATTATGACAAGCTTATGAGCCTGATGAATGCTAAAAAACCCACAACTTCTTTCTCTGCTGCTGCCTTTGTCACCAACAAAGGTATTCTTCCAACCCCTATCTTTAATGCTTTCTCCTCTACACAGACAATGTGGATTGTCGACACTGGAGCATCAGACCACATTGTCTGCTCCCTCTATTACTTACAAGACCCTCAACCATTGATAAACATCTACATAACTCTACCCACTGGAACTAAAGTCCAAGCCACACATTCTGGCACAGCTGTTTGCAATGATGCTATCACCCTTCAAAATGCACTGTTTGTTCCCAATTTTTCCTTCAACCTTCTATCTGTGAGCAGGCTCACTTCCGCATCAAACCTCAGCTTATCTTTTCAATCTACCATGTGTCTTATACAGGATCTGGAGCAGAAGAGAGTGATTGGTTCTGCTAGCCTTCACAATGGCCTTTATTACCTCCAAGCAACATACACCCCTAAGTTGATCTCTGCAGCTTCCAGAACTCCCTTTGACTTATGGAATTTTAGATTAGGACATGTTTCCCACTCTAAAATCCCTATTCTCAACCAATTTTGTACCTCCATTACCACACAGAGAGATCAACCTTGTGATGTATGTCATTTTGCAAAACAAAAACGCCTTTCATTTCCTGTAAGCCAGTCTGTAACTCAATATCCTCTTGAATTACTCCATGTAGACATTTGGGGTCCTAACTCTATCCCTTCTTATGATGGCTACAAGTATTTTTTAACAATTGTGGATGACTTCTCCAGAATGACATGGATCATTCTTCTCCATCTCAAATAAGAAACCAGACCAAAACTGATAGCTTTCTGCACTCAGATGCAAAGAAAATTCCAAAAACAAATCAAAACCATCAGGTCTGATCAAGGCCAAGAATTCCAAATGTCTGATTTTTTCACCTCAACAGGCATTACTCATGAAATGTCCTGTGTAGAAACCCCACAATAGAATAGCAAAGTTGAGAGAAAACATCAACATATTCTTGCTGTGGCTCGAGCTCTCCAATTTCAAGCTCATCTGCCACCAGCTTTCTGGGCAGATTGTGTTAAACATTTTGTTCATCTCATCAATAGAGTTCCCACATCAGTCCTTCTAAACCAGACCCCCTATCATCTCTTCTACAATCAGCCACCTGACCTCACAGAATTAAGAGTTTTTAGATGCCTTTGCTATGCCTCTACCCTAGCCAATCATAGAACAAAGTTCCAACATAGAGCTAGGAAAACAATATTCATAGGATATACTCCTGGCATCAAAGGATACAGGCTATATGATTTAAACTCCCATGAAGTGTTTACTTCACGAGATGTCATCTTCTATGAGTCAAATTTTCCTTTTCAAGAAATACAGTCTGATGATTCCTCAAGCTCTCCATCAGACCTTATATTTCCTCTCCCATCCCCAGACTCAACTCTTGTTCATGAAACTAATCCACTCCCAACCAACACTACCCTCACTTCACCTACCATACATCCTCCTCCTGACCAAGACAACAGTCCTTCTCCACCTCCCTCTCCACACAACCCTACACATGCATCAACAACCAATTCATCTCCACCACCCTCCCCTCCTAACCCACCTCCTCCACCAAATCTCAGAAGATCAGACAGAACAATCAAACCTCCTTCTCACCTAATCAAAAACTACCACTGTTACCTTGCACAAGGTCCTAGCAGTTCCAATCATCTCAACCTGCAACAGATCCAAGACAATAGGTACTCTCTATCTTCAATGATTTCTTACAACAATTTGTCTGATCCATTCAAAAGGTTCATGTTAAACATTTCCAGTCATCAAGAACCACAATCTTACAAAGAGGCTTCTAAGCTTGATGTCTGGAATCAGGCTATGCAACATGAAATTAAAGCCTTGATCAAAAATCACACTTGGGATGTTGTCTCTTTACCACCTAACAAGAAACCAGTTGGCAATAAATGGATCTACCAAGACAAGTTTTTATCTGATGGCTCTTTGGAAAGACATAAAGCCAGGTTGGTTGCAAAAGGAAATACACAGCAGGAAGGCATTTGCTCCTGTTATCAAGATTACTACTGTCAGAACCTTCCTAGCTATTGCTGCTCTCAGAAATTGGCACATTCACCAGTTGGATGTAGACAATGCATTCTTAAATGGTGACTTAGAAGAAGAAGTCTATATGACATTGCCTAAAGGATTCACCCCTCCTCCTGACATTTCTAATCCAGTCTGCAGGTTA